AATATTTATATTGAATTAAATAATTTTTATCATAATTTAAGGTTATATTTTCAATTTTTTTGTTATTGATTATTCGTTTTCTGTCAAAATATAGTATTAAATTATGTTTACATTAATCTTTAATATTTTATTTTAATTTTTTTAAATATATTATTTATATATATATATTTAAAAATTATTTGTAGAAAAAAGTAGTTATTTCTTTCAACAACTTTCAAATAAGTTTGAGGTTAAGTTACTAAAAGTTTTCAATCATAACATAATATATTCATATTTAATAGTTGATTTATAAAAGATAGTTATATGAAATGGAGCTTGTAAAAAATAAAATTTTTTAAATTAAAAATTGGAAATTTTACTATAAATTTATTGCAATTTATATATATACAAATAATTATTTATAGATTTATGTACAAAATAATACTTTACAAATACAACTTAGATTAAATTTTTATTATATTATAATTTTTTAATATTTTTATATTCTTATTCATATTCTATTTACTTATTTATTCACTAAAATCTTCTTCATCACTAAAATATTGATTTTTTTTATATCTTTTACCAGATTTTTTAACTGATCGATTTTCCTCTTCATAGCCTTTATTCCTTAATCTTTGATTATTTTCTAATTCTTTTTGTCTTTGCTAAAATATAAAATTTTATAAAATGATTATAAATATATAAATTAATATATATTTAATATATATTTAATTAATATATATAAATAATTATCTAATTTAAAATTTCATTATAAGAATAGAAAAAGATATTAGAAAACATGTAAAAATACATTACCTCTAATGCAATAGCAGCACTTAATGTTTCTACTTCTTCATCCCAATTATCTTCTGCTGATTCATCACTATTTTTATTAAAATCATTTATATTATGATTATTAATTTTATGTTTTTTTCTAATTCGAATCTTCTTTAAGGGTGGATTTCTTGGCCCTAATGTATTGTTTTTACAATTATATGATAAATGACCTTCTTCTCCACATTCATAACATTGAGATTTATCTGGATAATCTCTTCGACGTATAAATTCAGTACTTCTTCCATTATCTACTGCTATGGAACTTCTTACTGTACGACCACCTATCTATTAAAAAGAATTTATAAAAAATAAAATGCAATAAATATTAGATAAAGAAAACTATAATTCACCTCTGTGTTATTTAAATTTTTAGCACAAGTAATAGCATCTTCTGGAGTAAGAAATAATACAAATGCAACTCCACGACTCCTTCTTGTTATTTTATCTTTCATTACTGTCACTCTATAGACAAATAAATATTTCATATATCAAATTTCTTATAAAAAAGATAAAACTCACAACAAAATAAAAATTTTCTTTTTTACTACTGATATGAATTTTTATTTTATATATTAACAATTAATGTAAGTTAATATGATTATTTTTTTTAAGAAACATAAATACTAAATGAATAAAGATAAATATTATATAAAAAAAAGTAAATAATATATTTTTTATTAATTGTATTATATAAATGTATATATAATAAATATTATTAAAATATTAAATAATATTATTAAATATTTAATATTTAATTTAATTTATTTCATAGATTGATGATTTCATAACTTTAACTTAACTTACTTTACAATTTTTCCATAATTTTGTAAAAGTTGGTGTATATCATTATTCGTTAAGGAAAAAGGTAAATTTGAAATATAAACAGTTGATTTACTAGGTACCACTCCACCACTCATTTTTATATTATTATTATTTGCATTTAATTTAATCTAAAATAGGAATAAGGCAAAAATAATTGTAAAATAAAGTTTTATAAAACTTTTGTTTTATATCGTATTTATTTTTATTGTTTATAAAAATATGTAATAATATTTAATGATTGTAATTTTATAAGTATGACATTTTATATTAATATTTATTTTTTATATTTTTTATATAAAGCACAAACGAGATACAGAATAAACCTAACATTCAATACATTTTTTTTGTTTCATGTTTCGAGGACACTAGGACTCTTATCATTTTAGTATCATTCTCAACATTACCGATTCGGCTCAGAATAAGATCGTAACATTAACAATAGCTGGAATTAAAACAAAATTTTCATATAAAATTATAAATAAATAAAATAAAATAAAATGAATACCCTTTTCTAGAATATTTTGTAAATATATATTGCGTTTTATACATAATTATATTTTTATAAACTATTGTGAAATAAATAACTCAAATGGTTTCATATATATTATGTATATCTTTAGATATAGATTTTTGCGTATGTGTAAGATAGAAAAGGAAATAATAAAAGAAAGATAGAGATAGAATAAAAATATTGAAATCAGCGCCATCTGCAGAGTGCCGCAAATACATAAAGAAAGGATAGTAAATATTAGGAAAAGGATAGAAATAAGATAAGAATTGACTGTCAGTACCATCTTTTGAATGCTAAAAACATTTCTTCAAAGGATAGAATAAGAATTAAGTACTAGTGCCATCTTTTAACTGTTTTCAAAAAGACTTCCTTTATTAATCAAAAGATGGCGCTAATAGTTAAATCTTATACTATTTCTATCCTTTTTTTTATTTGATATCCTTTTTTAATTGTTTCATTTGCGGCACTCTACAGATGGCGCTGATTTCATTATTTTTATTCTATCACTATCTTTCTCCTATTATTTTTTCTTCTTGTCTATATTTAATCTGCAAAATCTACAGATGATTCTAATATTTAATTTTATCATTTTCTTTTTATGTAATCATCAATATTTTGTTATCATCAATATCTTTATGTATATATATATATATAATATATATATGTATATATATATTTTGTTTTAATATTTACAATATTGTATTCTAGTAATATCTATAAATAAATTTGGTTTTAATAGCATTATATTTAAATTCATTTTGATAAAAGATTGTTAAAATGTGTGTATAAATTAGTTATTTTTATTGTATTATAATAAAAAATTGAATGATTTTTTAATTTATAAATACACATCAACAATAATTTATAAATCACAAATACAGATAATATTTTTACACATAGAAATATGTGTAAAAGGATTGATTAAAAACATTATTTTTAAAATTTGTTGACATAACCAATTTTTATAATTGAATTAAGTTAAATTCTTATGTATTATATGTTCAATATGTGAAGTTCTACAAACATATATCTTATAACTTACTTTTTGTAAATATATTTATATTTTACACATTATACTTGAAAAATTATTTATTATATTTATAAATCATAGAAATAATTGATAATATAATTACAATATGTTAATAAAAATTGAATTTTAAGACATTTTTCAAATTCAGAAATTATATAATATATTTAAATAACATTTTAATTCTACATCAACAATAACAATTATTTTACAAATATTTACAAAAATATTATCATAATTATATTTTTATATGTTTATCATATTTTAATTTTTGTATATATTTTACAAAAAATATTATAAACTGTGAAAACTGTATAGTATAATACTTAGATATCATTAGTATTAATTCATAATATATTATAAAAAATTACAAACTTCCATATAATGTATAAAGTAAATTTCATTTTTCATAAAATGAAATATTTAAAAATTCTTTTACAAATTAATTATTTGATTCATAAATTAATTCAATTATATTCATTAAAGTAAAATCATATATATAAATTTTTATAAAATTAAATATTACAAGAAAGATTTTAGAATTTATATATTTTTATTTAAATCAATTTTCTTCTTAAATCATTAATAATTCATATTAAAAAAATAAAATTTATTTTAATACATATATATACTAAAAATAAAATATTCAAATAATTAGGAACTTATTTAATCTTATTTTATAACATAATTTAATACATAACATATAAATTAAAAAATTCATATTTTATGAAATATAATTTATAAAATTTAAATATTGCGTTTAATTCTTTAAGTACAAAATTTACACATAATACATTTATATTACTATATTATTCCACTAATATTTAAGTTTTAATAAGTCCTATTTTTAGGGATAATTTTGTTTTTAAATATTTAAAATCTTTAAATTATTCAGAATTGTATTTTTTATGATTTTTTATTAAATTAAATAAACTATTTTAAAATATAGTAATACATCTCTCTTTATATATATATATATAGATCTAATTTGACTATAGAATATTAAATTTTATATTTCATTATAATGAATAAATAAGTATTCATCTTATTTTTTTTTTTTTTTGTTCAATAATTATGTTCATGTAATAATATTTCAAAAATATCAGTAAATAATTAATTAAGAATGAATATTTGATTGTTATTTTCATTTTATAATAATTATACAAAAAGAGAAATATATTTTGGTCCACTTTATCTTGTGATTATTAAAAATTATTTACAAAATATATAATACAAAATAAAATAAAAAAATAAGATATTAAATATTAATAAATAAACAAACAGAAAAATATAAAATTCAATTATAAAAAAAAAATCAATTATGTGCAGCTCTCTTACCATTCATGTAACCTATCCAACGTTCTGCTGTAGTAGTAAAAATCGAATCATTGTCAATTGAATTTAAAAGAAGAAGTTGATTAATATGAGTAGAATGATAATCCCATCTAGCTAAATTTGGAGCAGTTTTTAATGTAAAATGACGCAAATCATATGTAGTACCAGAACCTGTATCATATAATGTTAACATGTTTTTCAGGGATGTCATACCCTGATTAAAAAGGCGGGATGCTTCTTCCGCATCTTTACCTGTCGCTATGCTTTTTAAATCATATAAACCAATTAAAGAATAAATAAATCCATTAAGTATAAACGAAGAAGGTGTTGTAGGATATTCTTCATACCACACATATTTATTTAAAAATATTGCAGCTACTCCTCCTTTATTAGATGATAATTTAAAAGGTTGAAGACCTCTAACAGCAGCTTGTAAATATTTTTCTTCACCAGAATGATAATATGCTCTTGCTAATACAGAAATTGCATGGCCTTGACCCATACTAGAATACCTATTGTTACAAAAAGTTTTTATTTAGATAAATGTATTAATCATGAATTTTTAAAATTTAAAAATTTATTAAAATTATACCATCCAGGTTCAAGAGTAGCCATTCCAGTAGCTACTTTTCTTCGTACAGGATTTGCCCAACCACCAGAAGTAATATTCTGATTACTAACAAACCATCTAGCTGCATCATAAAATTGTTCCATATGTTCACTTGTAGACAATGTTATATTATCAATCATTCCAGATCCATATAATGTTATCTTCACAATCTATAAAATAGTTTTAATTATATAATTTTTAATTATATATATTTTTTTAAATATTTATTATTTTTATTACTTTTATTTATTATACTTAAATCTTACCTTCAATTTTGAACGAGACATTTTCTTTTTATTTTTATCATTTAAATATAAACCTTTTTGAAGATCTATAACTAAATCTCTAGTGAATCTTCTCCACTGATGATTAATTTGACCAATTCCATAATAAACATGATTGTTATAAGTATGTAACACTATATTACTAGTAATATAATGAAGATAATATATTTCTTTTCTTTCTCTAGATTGCAATGTAATCATGATACTTCCATTGTCTTTAATATTAAAATCCCATTTTAATACAAAATCTAACACATGATCTAACTTTAAAGTAATACCAGAAGTACTAGTTTCTGGTGTTGCAAATTTCATTACATAACTATTAGCATATTTATCAAATATTTTAGATGCAATAGATCCTTGAGGTATAATCCATTCTCTTTTAACTTTATCTGAATCTTCAATTATTTTTCTGTGAGGCTCTGGTTCTGTTAAATTTTTACTATAATGTGATAATCCAAATTGAGCAATTTGAGTAGGGTAATAATATCCTTGACTCTCCCATTGAGTAGATATTGGTACTCCATCATTTCCACTAATGCATTTGACACGTTCTCGAACTTCAACATTATAATTCTCAAAGGTCATAAACACTCCTCTAGGATCATATTTTCCTTTAGGATTAACAATCTTGGAATAACTGTGCAGCCACTCAAATCTTTCTAAACCATCATAGGTAGCTAATTTTCCATAAATCTAATATATATTAAAAATATTAATATTTTATTATATATAATTAATATATATAATTGATATTTACCTCAAAGTATTTATGAATAAATGAGAATGGTATATAAACTTCATCTCCTTCCTTACGACATCCAATAGAATAATCACCATTTATGTGACAATCTATTTCTTGATATCCAGTTTCTAAGTTTAATCGATCCTTTATATAAAAATAAATGAAATAATAATAAAATAAATATTATTATTATTTTATAAATAATATTAATTATAAATAATATTATTATTTTATTTTATTAAGGATATTAATTAAAATTCCAATTAAAATATAATTGATAATTTAAAAAAAT